TTCGCAGAGGTTGTGATATAAATATTTAGAAACTATACCTTCTTTTCTACAAGATGGTAAAGTAATTTGGTAATCGGCGAGGTAATTCGGAAGTTAGATGAGAACCACTTTTTAAGTATAAAACTTTATAAAAATTTGTATTGTGGCTTAGGTTAATATTAACGTAGGTTGATATTAACGGGTGTCATGTGTATAATCAAAAAATCCCAAAATCTTCGGAAAAGTCGTTAAATCCGGATTTACGTATAACTGTTATACGTACTAGTACACATCAATTTTAATTTTATTGAATTTATTGTGCCGAAATAATAACCGGATCGGCTGAAAAATCATTCGGCTAATTTTATCAGGTGTCCCAGAATTAATAAAAACAGCTGTACGTAATTGTTATATCAGAATTTAGTCGATATAGGTGTAATATCCAGATTTACAGTTATTATCATAATTTCGGGTAATGAGCAGGTGTCCCAGAAATTATGATAATAGCTATAACAATGTTTAGACGTATTATCCTTTTACAGCCGTTTTCATAATTTCTGGGATACTTGTAAAAATTAACCGAATGATTTTCGGTCGATCCGGTTAATTTATAATTTCGGCATAATAGATTCAATAAAAATTGGTACGTGCGTACGTGCGTATTGAATCTATTATGCCGGAATAATAAAATAACCGGATCGGCCGAAAATCATTCGGCTAATTTTTGCAAATATCCCAGGAATTATGAAAATCTGTGAATGGACGAAGGTAATGTGCCTGCATATTTAAATCCGAATATTACACCTCTATTGATTAAATCCAGATATAACAATTAAATCCGGATCTAATGATTCATACGTAATTCCTGGAACACCTGTAAAAAATTAGTCGAATGATTTTCGGCTGATCCGATTAACTTATTATTCTAGTATAATAGGTTCAATAAAAATTGGTACGTGCGTATGTACGTACGTACTAATTTTTATCGAATCTATTATGCCAAAATAATAAATTAACCGGATCGGCCGAAAAAATCATTCAGTTACAGCTATTATCATAATTTCTGGGACACCTGCTCATTACCCGAAATCTTTTTGGTCGTTCGGTAAATTACCTAACTCTCCGGAAATTACATCACTGCCTCCGGACTGAAGGTCCGAAGACAGCGATGTAGTTTCAGAAGAGTTAGATAATTCACCGAGCGAACAAAAAAATTTCGGGTAATGAGCAGGTGTCCCAGAAATTATGATAATAGCTGTAATTTTTTACGGGTGTCCCAGGAATTATGAAAACAGCTGTAACTCCTGATATAAGCTATTAAATCCGGATCAAGTATTAACTCTAGTTTGAGCATTCCTTAATATTAAGCATGCTGCATAATGTAACATAATGAATGAAGTTCTGAAGTTTTCAAGTTATTATATAATATGATTCGAAAATTATGATTAATAAATCTAATATTTATTTTTTTAAATGAGAGCAATGCATAATTAATAAACATAAATAGCTTACATTAAATATTTTATTTAATCTTTTTTATAACATCAATAAAATAAAATCAATTTGTTATTTTACTAATCTCTGAGGTTTAAAATTAACTACTGTAAAAATATACAAGATCCGAACCTAGTACATGGCTAAAGGTTATATTATAAAAAGAAAAAATTTAAAGAGAATATACGCTTTGTATTTATAATAGATATTTTGATTAGTAATAATAATTCCGTGATCTTGAAATAGCGATCGGGGGATTATTTAAAAAAAACTATATTACAGATGGTTTTATAAATTCTGAGACACCTAAAAATTTCTCGTTTCCCGAAACCTCTTCGATCTTGTTCTAAGAATCCCTAACTTTTCGGAAACTGCTTCGCTGTTCTTGAAACTTCGATACAGAGACAGCAAAGTAGTTTTTGAAAAGTTAGCTGTTTCTTAAAACAAGACCGAAGCGATTTCGGAAACGAGTAAATTTTTAGGAGCCACAGAATTTATGAAACAGCTGTAATATATATATATATAATATAGGATTGCATAATGTTGCATTATGTAATGCCAGACCAAAAAAAAAACTTGTATTCGCACATTACTATTTAATATTCTGAGTTGGTCAATATTGAACATTATATTCAAATTTAACACGTATTTTTGTTTTGCGTCTCCTTATGCAGAAGTCCAGATTATTTAATATAGATGCATATTTGAATGAAGCATTTCAAGTACAATAATCAATTAAAGACCTTGCAACTCGAATTATTACAAAAAATATATATATAAAGACTAATTATACTAACATCAAAAGTGCGCTAAAATCTAATATATATTAGTTACACAAATATACGATAGTTGTAAGTATTGCATAATCCCAAGAATTCTTTATATTTGCAAAATATAAAACTATTACTAAGAATCCAAGTATGAATCCAAATATCTCAATTTTGCGGTATATTGGGCAATAAGCCTCTCTCTTTTGACTTGTCTTTCATTGTCACGGCGTTCTTTCAACTCATCTTCGTACTAATAAAAAAATATATTAATAACTTTTTTAACAATATCAAAAAATAAACAAACATACCTTTTTGATTTCACTTTTTATATCCATCGTTTGCTTTTTTAGTGCATGAATCTCGTCTTCAATTTCTTCCTTACTAAGAGATTTAATATCTTTATTTTCATTTGGATCAATATCAGCATTTTCATTTGAATTAATATAAACAATGTCACTAACACGATCGTTATTAGCCATGTTTTTTAAATTATTAAAAAAAGAAAATCATTCTCTTACCTTTTTAAAGCAGATTACAAGAACTCATTATGACGAAAGAAAAAAAAATGCAATGACGTTGAAAAAAATGAAACGAAGAATGATGTAATTTAATACGTATATCAATCTGTTCGAAAATAAAGAGTGGTACAAAAGATGATATAGCAACGTGTAATGAGTAATATATAAAGTAGTATAGTATGAAACATAAAAAGAGTAGCGTAGAACAACTTCAAGTTCTTATACTCAT